AGTAGAATAGTTGGGTCTTAACAGAATTTCTATGTTCAGTTGTTTGAGGAAGCACCAAACTGCCTTCCAGAGTGGTTGTACCAACAATGTATAAGAGCTCCAATCTCACCACATCCTCTCCAACATTTATTACTTGCTACCTACTAAACTTTGCCACTGCTACTGAGGTAAGATGGCATCTCATTATAATTTTGATTTGTATCTCTCTTATTGCAAGTGATTCTGATTTTCATTGTCTGTTGACCATCTGAATGTCCTTCTCTGTGAAAAGTCTTTCCGTGTTTCTTGCCCATTTTATAATTGGATTATCAGTCTTTTTCTTCTGGAGTCCCAGGAGTATTCTGTAAACTTTTGTTTTGAGACCCTTGTCTAAGATGGTATTGCCAAATGTTTGTTCCCAGTTTGTTTTCTTTTCACCCTGTTTGAAACTTTTGTTCAATATTGGATTAGAAGTACTTGCTAGGGCAATATGACAAAAGAAGGAAATAAAAGGCATCCTGATCAACAAAGAGATGGTTTAACTGTTGCTATATGCAGATGATATGATAGTGTACACAGAAAACCTCAAGCACTCGACAAAAAAACAGTAAGAGCTAGGACATCAATTTAGTAGAGTGGCTGGATATAAGATCAATATCCAAAAATCAGTGAGATTCCTTTACAGTAACAGAGAGAACTCAGAGAAGGAAACCAAGAGAGAACAATACCATTTACAATAGCCAACCACAAATTGAGATACTTGGGAGTGAACCTAACTAGAGACACAAAAGACCTATACAAAGAAATCTACAGAACATTTTTGCGAGACACAATAAAAGACCTACATAAATGGGGCAATGTTCACTGTTCATGGATAGGAAGACTCAATATTGTGAAAATGGCAATCCTACCAAAAGCAATCTATATGTTTTTTCATTATTTTTGTTCAAAAAGAAAATAAATGCTACCTTGACATTATATTTATTTCATTGCAAAAGCCCTGAGGTTAAATAATTTGGCAGCTAACAAAACAGTTGGTGATTTGAACCCACCAGTTGCTTCAGAGGAGTAAGATGAGGCAGTCTGCTTCCAGAATGATTCAGAGCCTTGGGAAGCCTGTGGTCACCCCTGCTTCACCTGCAGGGCTGCTGTGAGATGAAGTCAACTTGATAACAGTAGGGAGGTTTTCTTTTCCAGAAACAGTATGGAATTTAAAGTACCTGTAGGGACTTTAAATATGTCAGCAGTATTTAAATACCGTTACTTAAAGTTTCCTGTGAGTCTAATAAAATCACAATTCACCTTTATAAAAATATTTTAAAGGGAAGCTTGGCCCCTGGAATTTTCCATGATTTTTTTTCCTAGCTGAACACTAATTGAACAGTGGCAAATCGTTTTAGAACAATACAGGCAGTCCCCTGGCCCCCTGGAGTCATTCATATCTGTGTCTTTAAATCAGATTTATAGTTAAGTTGGAACAGGTGCATGTTCTTACTTCTCCTTACTTGAGTAAAAGAAAAGGCTTAAAGTTTAGAAGTTGCATGTACAGCAAGTGAAGATGGTTGTGATGACGAGTTCCTTGTGAAATAAGGGCTGGTTCAGTGGTTTCAAAGTACAGTTATATAACCTTAAAGGGCAAGCATGAATTTCCCAGAAACCAGATAGTTGTAATCAGGGGACTTGCTATACACATGAAATATATATTACTCCTCTGCTTAAGTCTAGTTTCATCTGGGTTCACATCAACACTGTTAACTACATGTGAAATGTTACCTCTTATTCTCCTTCATCTCCATCATCCAGACTCACTCCCTGTGTAGTCATGATTCTACTTATCCTTCTCTAAGGAGAATGTTAGCATCAGGGTTGGAGGAAGACTCATCAGCAGCCCACAGTATACAGATGACACAACTTTGGTCACCAGAAGTGAGGAGGACTTGAAGTGTGTGTGCTGCAAAAGACCAAGGATTGCTACCTTCAGTATGGATTACACCTCATCATCAAGAAAATAAAAATTCTCACCACCAGGTCAATAGGCAGCATCATGATAGATGGAGAAAGGATTGGAATTGTTAACAATTTTGTTTTACTTGGATCCACAGTCAACATCCTTGGCACCAGCAGTCAAGAAGTCAAAAAATGAGTTGCATTGGAAAAAATCTGCTGTCAAGGACTTTTCCAGAGTGCTGAAGAGCAATGATGTCAGTCTGGAGACTAAGATGCACCTGATCTAAGTCATGATTTTCTTAGTTGCTTGTTATGCATCTTGGAGCTGGACAGTGACCAAGGATGACAGTAGAATAATCAGTGCTTTCGAGTTGTGGTGCTGGAGAAGAATATTGAACATACCATGGACCACCAAGAGAACAAACAAGGCTGTCGCTGGAGAGAGTAAAACCAGAATGCTCCTCTGTCTCACATACTTAGGGCATGCTGTCAGGAGTGGCAAATCCTTGGAGAATGACATCATGCTTGAAAGGGTAGAGGGTCAGGGCAAGGAGAAAGATCCTGGATGAGGTGGAGTGACATAGTGACTGTGGCAGTGGAATCAGGTGTGTCAGAGATGGTGAAGATAGGACAAGTTTCAGAGCTATTGTTAGCAGTATTGCTAGGAGTCATAGTTGACTTGATGACACATAACAACAATAACATGCTTTCTAATCTTACTCTGTATAGTCAAGTATAACCATAATTTGTTCTTTTTCACTGTTGGATAACATTCTGTTTATTAGATGTATCACAGTTTATTTGCCTTATCCCTTGAGTGAGTATTTGGATTATTTCCAGCTCTTTTACCATTAGGGACAGTATTGTCAGGAACCTTTTTGTGAATACGTACAGGGAGTTTTTTATGGT